TATTTCTGGGAGGGAGGGAAGAATATGTTGCTGTATATGTGGTTTGACATGAATTCTCAGAACTCGTCACTTAATTAGGTTGCGTTCTAATTAAAGCAAGTTTCTTGCATCTGATCTTTCTCATCTTTTTCAGACCAGCAACTTACCTGCATTCTCAAGATAACCTGTCGGAGCATGGTTATTCCCAATATTTCCATGCAATTCATTTTCATGATTAAGCCAGCATTCATCTTTTGTTTGTATTATAATTGGATTATAATTTAATTTTTCTTCATTTTTCTCTTCTCACTTTTAGGCTTTTGTTATCTTCTGTGGCCTGGGAATCAACAACACAATTATGTATGACCAAGTGAAGAAATCCTGGGCAAAACAGTCTGTGGCTCTTGATGTATGCGTACATCTTAATGAAACCTTTTCTTGCTCATGTGTCATGTGTAAAGGAACCTACTGCTTCTGTATTTATAGTAGTTACCATCCTTTTCTATATTTACCCCTCTGCACCTTAGAGTGCTGTTTTATTAAGGTAATGCTGAAGGCAAACATTCTCGGGGTATGCTTAGCTGTGGAGCTCATGCACACCTTAAGTAATTTTGAACCTGAATATCTCATTAGATGCCAGTGCTTTTTACATTGGAAGGGGGGAGGGAAGTGATGATGGAGAATCTAGTTTCTTACGGGTTTAAGTGTAGGAATTAATCTAGGCGTTATATGGATTTTCATATCCATCAGTAACTGAAAATTCCTCAGAATTTGATACTTTAGCTATGTTGTTGCTTTTTTACTACCGTAAAGCCCAAGTAAAACAAACTGTGAACAGGATAGAATTTGAAAAAAGTTGTCATCATCACAGGGTTTTTTAGTATCAAAAGTAACACCCGCTGAACCTCTTATCAGATATATGTCTTGCTAGAATAAAGTCAAAGCAGGATGGCTGGCATCTCAGTAAGAGCTCTGCTGTGGGTTAAGGCCAAAATATAATGCAAGGTCCTGGCATTCCAACATGTGACTTCTTTCTGTAAAATACATGTAGAGTAGCTAAATTCACATTAAACTTTCTCTATTTTTTTTGCCTGTGGCCTTTGTAGGAATTTATTCCCGTTCGGTCCCCATGTGTTGCCTGATCTAGTCGAGAGGTGGCGTCCCTGGCGGCAGGGAGGCTGGATTAAAATGATCTCTAAGGTCCCTTCCAGCTTAGGCCATTCTATGATGATTTTTCTATTTCTGTCATTCATGAGGAACGAAATCTCCCAGCTCCTGTAAAACAAACTCTAAAATGCAAAACATTTCAAAAATTTCAATTAAAAAATGGTTATTTTAAACTCCTATAAGCCGATTCAACAATAACACACTATTATATTTTGGAAATTTGAAACATAATCATACCAAAAATATGGTGTTTTTTAAACCTATCATCATCGTTTGACTCGATGATCTAAAAGGTGTTTTCTAACTGAAACGATTCTATGATTCTATAATCATATTAAAACCAATGACCAAAGCTTTGAGTTTTGAGGATAGCTTTACAAATTTATGTTACTCCTGCTAAAATAATTAAGAATGGTTTGAACAAAATTTAAGATCTTTTAAGGGGCCGGTTAGCTCAGTGGTTTGAGCACGGTGCTGGCAACAATGACAACACCGAGGTCATGGGTTCAATTCCCGCTCGGTCCCCATGTGTTGCCTGGTCTAGTCGAGAGGTGGCGTCCCTGCCCATGACAGGGAGGTTGGACTAGATAATCTCTAAGGTCCCTTCCAGCCTAGGCCATTCTATGATTCTATGAAAAAGACTGATTTAAAACATTCTTCTGATGAAAGGTGGTATCACTAAGATTTTGGTGTTTTAAATTTCATATGTGATAGGAGAAGAAAACAAACTAGCCTTCTCTGATGTGTGCACTCTTTAACTGTGTAACTCCTTTGAGTTTATACAATACCCACCATTACAATAAGAACCACAAAAATAACATGGGCCTGAGATAGGAACTTCTCTCTGTTAAAACAAAAATAAAACCAAACTGGATTGCTATGGAGATGGCTTTTTTTTTTTCTTCTTTGCTTTAGGTTTAGATATATTTATCTATGTATTGGAGATCTGTCCTGAAAAGCACATAGGCATGTTAGGGCTTTTTGAAGTCAGTAGGACTGTTTGTATTAGAAAACATTCTAAGCATAAGTGGTTTTTTTAATTATTCCTGTAGGTGTATTCATGTAAGAGGAATAGTTAAAAACTTTCATTTTCTCATGCAGGATTCCTTATTGTTTACATATCATAGTCATGAACTACTATAAGCCCTCATTTGCCCCAATATTTGTGTTTATTATTTACTGCTGAAATCATGGAAATCTAGATTTCCTGGTTTAAAATACAGCTTCTTTGTTTGATCTAAAAAAGACTAATAGCCATATAGCTTGAATGTAGATAATAGGTTTGATAAATAGCTACTATGCTTCAATGAAGAGTAATTCTTCCTATAAATGAGTAACTACTCATGATAATATTTGTGTAAAGTGATTGAAGATACAGCAGAGAAGTACTGAACAAAAGAATGGTACATGCTGAAGGACCGTGAATCCATTTTTTAGTAATAGAATATTTTGCTGTCCTAGCTAAATACATAAATACTAATAATGAGTGGCATTTGAAAATGACGCTGATATCAGATGTAAAATAAACCAATTTGATGCATACCATAATGAGATTCCTATCCATATATGCAGATAGCATTTTTTCATATGGAGTTTTCATAAGATTGACTGAAAAATAGAAGACCAAAATGGGGAAAGGTTGACAGTAGGATGCCATATGGTACAAAACCAGGCTAATGCTATTTTATATATTAAGGATACAAGATTTGCAAGTGATTACAAGATTAGAATAATCGATATTAAGGAAGACTGTAAAAATCTAGAGGGGTATAATGAATGCAGATAAAGGAGAAGCTTGATGAGAATTTCAGTATTAAGTGTCATCTGTCACAGTAGAAGACAATTTTACTAATCTTCCAGATTTCTGAGAGAAGCTACAATATGGTAGGACAGAAAAATAGATGCTATTTGAGGAAGGACACAATGTATAGTTATAGAAAGTAAAATGTGGGACAGAACAAATGAATTGGTATTTGTTACTCTTTTATAGTGCAGGAATAATTTCCTGCTACTGTAAAAGATGACACCACTAAAACCTCTAAAACTGATATGAGTAAATACATTTTGGGACTTATTGCCGCAAGGTGTATTGCAAGCCAAGGGCATGTGAGATAGTTTAGGTATTTGTGTGGTAACAGCCACATTCACAGATGATGACAATTTCAAAATGAGAAATACAGATCAAAGCTTTAGCATGTAAGCAGATCGGGTGTTGCTGTGTAGTGAGGAGGATCTGTCCTTACTGGGAACGCTCTGGCACTGTGAGCTCCCTCGTGGACCAGCGCCTTGTCCCACGCAGGTCAGACCTTGGTAGGTCCAGTGCAGAGGGTGGCTCTTTCACCTTCTGGTGTGCTTGTTTAATGTAGTATCATCGCATAAGGGTATAATGTATTCCATGGAAATGTATGCATACTTATAAGTAATAAGAGGAGATGTGCTGTACTTTGTGCATTTTATTTGATGCTTTCATCTCCAGAATGGTATTGAAGAGAACGTCAGGCATAGCGTAGAGCTGTTAATTTGCATGCAGTGACGTGCCATTAGCAAAGGCTTTAAAGCTTTACAGTATAGCAAAAGGTGTTTTTTAAAGTCTATAAGTCTCCTGTTATTTTTACATTAAATCCTTTCTGCTTTACTTATGGAACTCCAGGAGAACAATGTAGGAATGCTTATAATACTAAATTACTAACTGTCCCTGATTTCCTATAAAATTCCCTGCAACATAAGTGCCCAATGTATATGTGATAACCTGCAATTAGTTATTATATGCGGGCATTCAGAACTGAATTACCATGAATAAATATTAATTTTGTTTTAAACATCATTGATTAGACTGCAGAGCAGAGCCCTGTTGTTTCTACTTGTCAAGTCTACAAAAATGATTTTTATCTTTTGTTCTGGGGCAGGTGTTATCTTATCATGCAACATGTTCGAAGGCAGAAGTTGATAAATTTAAGGTAAGAATTGAAGTTTTTAATTATTTCTGAAAATATACCAGTAAATTAAAACGGATTTAGACTATCTGAGAGAAAAGTCTTACCTCAAAATCAGAAAATCATAATTGTCAGGGATTTATGAAGAATGTATTATATGTCATACTGCTATGCAGGGAAGGTAGAAAAATTCTGTCAGAATATAAAGAGCCGCAGCACAGCGGCAAAATACAATTGTCCCAGCACCAGCTGCTGGAAGTGCACGCCAGCATGGGTTTGGTGGCCTCCTCAGCAAGAACCACCATAGGGAAATCACAGTGGGAAATGTGAAAGAGGCTAGAGAATATGAGAGGTGCTTGAGGCTTTGCATGCTAACAGTGTGGGAGCTGTCCTGTGTTTACTGAAGAATACAGAGCATTGGCTATCAAGGTTGTGCATAGGCTCAGAAGGCCAGACATGAAGGTTACAAATCCACTTCTAAGTTCTGTAAGTGCCTGGGCAGAACTGTGAAGCGATGTATGCTGAACACAGCATTGCTAGGGACCAGGAATTATGTGTTCTCGCTGAATCCTGCCTTACCAAGGAGTAGAGAGTAGGGGCAGTGGTGACCTTGCTCTTTCATCACTGCCAGCACTCCAGAGCTGCTTTTGGGATAGGCTTTGTTTGCCCTTTTCTGCTTGAGGAGACACAGTGGGAACTTGGTGGCACTTGCCTTGGCTGTGCGGAGTCAGTGTTGTAGAGGGCTCCTCAGAGCTCTTTGGGAGGCTCTCAGGGTGGGAGATCGTGGTGAGGTCTGGGAAGGAGACCTGGACTGTTGTGACCCTGCACTGCTGGCATTCCCTGCTGTGGCTCTCTTGCACCCGTGTGGCTGAAAAATAGCTGTTGGGCGGTTATTTTGACACTTGGTTAGCTGCACCCTGATCTGTGCACCATGGGGATGGATGTGGTGGAAGGAGGAAGCCATGGGTGACGTAGCAGAGTTGCCACTGATGAGTTACCCGGGCTAAGGAAGGGCGGCTGTTGCCAGTTAGTGAATGAGTTTGTAGATTATTACCCAAACAATGACTGTGCCTTAGAACTCCGTAGCGATACCTGGTGATATGGGTGTAATACTCTCACTGTGTTGCATATACTGGTGCAGTTACCAACTTTTCTGCAAACTGAAGATTAGATTACTGAATTATTGCTGTAATCAAAAATGCTTAAAGATGATTCCAACACTGCAGCCAGCAGAAAATACTGTTGCATTGTTATTTTTTATGCACTGAACCCTGTGAAAGAGGGGAGAAAGAAAGGGATAAAGGACCATAAGTATTTCTTTCTTCTTTTTCTCTTTTTTTCTTGTATTTTAGTTTACCTTAGAATAAGTACCTGTAATATAGCTTCTATGGCTGTCAGTATTCAAGCAATATCTTTCTACATACGAGAGGGTCATTCTTCTTGGTTGCTGTCAGCCAGTGAAAGGCAATTTTCCACCATGGTCTGTGTAGCTGAAATGAAAGCCTGCTATGTTCTTCTTTGGACTTAGATGTTAGTGTGATAAGGAGCTATTCTACTTGGTTTTCCAGGTGTCTTCATTAATAGATTTGCCAGTATCCAAGTAAGAAATGTTTTGTTGTTATCCATTTACCTTGAAAGCATGTCACTATCCATTTAATAGTTAATACTAAGGTAAAGGGAAATGGAAAGCATTTATTCATTAATAAACTCGATGGATACATTTTTAAAAGGAACATAGATGCAAAAATGAGAAGATAACCAAAACAAAAAACAGAGAAGACCAGTGTGCTCCCATCTTCCCCTTGTGCAGAGGTCTGGCAGACGGACTCCCTGCTGAGGTCTCCTGGGTCATCCTACCCTGAAATCACTGTTCTTTTCTCTGTTTGTTATATTGTTATATCTTCTATAAGCCCTTTGTTATATTAGGGTCAGCTTCTAGACTTGACTGGCCAATAAACAATTTCTGCCTCTGGGGGTGTTTGGGGCTAAAACTGTCCCCTCTCCCTTTGGTGATTTATTGGCAGATGTCAGAGGAAATGTCTATTACGATTTACCTGATGTTCTGTTCCAGTTGGAACAGTAACAAACACGTGATAGAAACACCTAAATGAGAATAATGCCAGTAGTTCACTCCTGGCTCTTGACTGACATGGGACCTAACAGTAATTAATGACTCTGGAAGGGCACATTTGAGTTGAAAACTTTTCAGCATATTACCCCAAACATACTGTAACTGGACCCCAGCAGCCTGGAAATAACTACATGTTCTTCCTCCTAGTTCAAGTTGTTTATTCCTATCTTTGTCATCGTATTTCCTTATAGTCTTAATAAAAGGCATTTTCATTATTTTTCATTTGCCTAAGATCTCGAGAATATTCTGATACAAAGTTAGAAGTTGCAACTTGTACCAGAAGTCCTCTGGCTTTACCAGTTAATTGATGTTATCACATTACAGAAAGCCTAGTTAAACTTGTTTTTTTTCATTTGAAATTTTGTCAATAATTTCCTACTTTTATTGGATGAATTCAGAAAAGTAGAAATTCACAAATATACCTGGTATTTTTTTTAAGAATTAAATATAATCACTGTGAGCACTTTCTGTAAAATAAATAACATTTGCTTCTGTTGCTACTAATCCAGTCTAAGAATTAATGAAAGAATAAAAAAAACCACTTTAGTAAGAAACCCTTAGGAAAGGAAATACCTCTCTCTAGATGCTAGGATGGGAAGAAATGCAGAGAACCATTGGTTGTAGAGCTGGAAAACACAAAGGGAAGTTCCCAGTATGGAGCAACGGAACGTGTGTGTGGTAATAGACCATGTCATACAGTGGTCCTGTCCCATATCTGATTTCTACAATTGTCTAAAAACAAAGCAGCAACACAAATTTGCCTTGCACGGGGGTTTTGCAAATTTTGAAAGAGATTCTACTTGTGATGTAACCAGAATATAACTTTCACCAATAAAAATCTGAAAGCCAAATTTAAAAACGCTGATGTGAGTAGAAACTGTTGTATGAGCGAGTGGATGGGGCCTTTTTCTCGGAAGAGAATGCAGTAATTGATGTCATTGATGTAAAAATTTGTGTCGCTGGTCCTTTCCATTATTTCCATTAAAGCTTTTGGGATTCGTTAGCGCTTACTCCAGCCGGCACATATTTCTCAGGAGGGGGCCAGTGCCAGCAGGACCGGTGCGAGGCTCAGGCACAGCTCAGATGACCTGGATGGAGCCACCCCCTGAGCCCGCGGTGGGGATGGAAACCTGGCCCTAACCCAGTGATCTTGTTTTAACAGTGAGAGGGGGGACTTAGCCCTCCACGTAGACCTGAGTGGAGCTGCAGAGATCTGGGTTCAGAGCTCGAGCAAATCCCTTGGTCTCTCTAGGTGACAATCTGGCCTTGGGGAAGGTTGTGGGAGGCTTGCCGGGGATTTCAGTGGGACGTTGCTGTCTCTGGCTTCATCTGGCATTTGTAGAATTGCACAGTAGTGTTCCCTCTGCCTCCTTCCATCCATTTATTCATGGTGGTCAGCCTTTTGTATTGTGCTTTCTGATAGAAAAATAAAATTGAAAAAAGTTACAATTTAGATCCAGTCCTCTTTTTCACCAGTTTAAAATGTAGGTTCATGCAGTGTAAAATGGGTCTGTTTTCCTGAAAATTGGGAAAAACATATGGAAGCCGAACTGACAGAGTTCCAATAATGCAATTGAATCAGAATTAGTCATTAATCAGAATTAATTGTAGGATATCTAACATTATTCTTGTATTTGGGATATGCACTGTACTTCCAGGTTCTAAGAAAGTGGGATGTGAGTTTTTTGAATGATTTATAGGATTAAGACAAGAGAAATAAGAACATGTAATTTATAGTAAATATTGTACATTGACTCTCTGTTGCCAGCTTTTTTACATTTATTTGCAACTAAATATTTTTCAAGATTTATTTTTTTTAGATTTTCTTTTGAAGCCATCATAACTAAAATTTAAATCTGATATACTGCTAAATTCATACAAACCGCGTGGTATTTTTCAGATTTTCTGATACATGCTGCATTACTGTGGTAGGTAGATTCCTGATACCATTGCTCTAGATATAGTGAGAAGAATTAAACTTACTTTCCATGGGCATTTGCAGGTAAAAAAACAACAACAACAAAAAAATCCAACTTAAGTGCAAACATTTCTTGCATTTCTGAGAATATCTGAAGTCTTGAGCCTGATTTATCACAATGCTGCTTCTAACTTGCATCTACATAATAACACTAAATTCAAACTGAGTTTAAAGTTGTACACCAAAGAATCATGCCCATATCAATATCAATTTTATTGTTTTAAGGAGTTGGAAAAAGGTATGATTTAAAAAATTGTGGCAACTCAGTTCTCATATTTTAGACTTAAAAGACAATTTCATTATTTCCATTGTGTACTAGTCCTAGTGTTTAGCATTTGTTTTATTGGAGTAGAAAAATATAAGACTAGCGAAGTCTGATTATTCGAAGATTGATGCCATCCTATAGCATTATCCTGTAGTTCCAGGTTTCTTCTCATTGAAATGCAGGCTCTACAGGCCTAAAAATAGTTGTCTTTTAGACAAATATAGAAAGACAAGATACATGAGTAAAGGATGCAGAATTGTGTCCAGGGCAGGATATTTATAGCAAGAGTTACTGACTTCTGAGACTGTAATGAACAAGTCCTGTGACTTAGTCAGCAGTCCCACAAACACACATCATCTTTAATTTTAGCTAATACAGTTTCCAAAGAGAATGTGTAAACACTGTCCTATGATGGGTAATATCCAAGAAGCTATTTTTAAATAGCTAACCTAATTGTGCAGCTGTAAATGGCATAAGCCAGATCAATATTTAATGACTGCGATGCATTATTTATAGCCCTGTGAGAGATTCCCTTTTTTAGGTCAAACAGCACACAGGAGAGCTACGCAATGGAAAATAATGTATCACCTGCTTTACAGCGTCTTCGATTGAAAATGCAGGGTGAATAATTCCTGTATTTCTTAATTCTG